ATGAGTAAAATCAGTTATCTTTGTGCACCTTCTGATGTGAGTATTCAGTTATCTTTGTGCACCTTCTGTTGTGAGTATTCAGTTATCTTTGTGCACCTTCTGATGTGAGGAATTAGTTATCTTTGTGTACCTTCTGATGTGAGTTATTCAGTTATCTTTGTGCACCTTCTGATGTGAGTATTCAGTTATCTTTATGCACCTTCTGATGTGAGTATTCAGTTATCTTTGAGTATTCAGTTATCTTTGTGCACCTTCTGATTTGAGTAATCAGTTATTTTTGTGCACCTTCTGATTTGAGTAATCAGTTATCTTTCTGCACCTTCTGATATGAGTAATCAGTTATCTTTGTGCACCTTCTCTGAGCCTCGAGCATCTGCCAGAACCTCTCGTCACTCCCCGCTGCATCAATCTCACCAGACTGGTGATCCATCTGCTCCTCTAAACTGTACACGCTCTCCCACAAGGCACTAACCATATCTGCCTTATCATGTATCAGGGCTCTCCTCCGAACTTCTACCCGATATTATGGCAGCCAAGCAAATAGCCTAACAGGGCCTCAGTCGTGTGTTAAATGCGGTTTTTCTGCCAAGAAACAAATCGCAGCAAAACTAGGATCAGCTCTGAATAACGAAACAAATGCTCTAACAGGGTCTTAGCAATATGTTAATTGTAGACATGTTTTTGCGACTATGCCGCACCACCGACAGTATTCCCCGTGCCGCTAGGCGCTACACGGATGGGGGGTTAAACTAGATGGCTAGGACTCCTGAGCAGCAGTTACTGCATCTCCTGCAACTTCCTCTAATTTATTTTCTCGTGAGTCCCAGGCATCTACTTTAGACCCCTATCCACGCCGCACGTAGCGGCATGGGGGATACTGTCGGTGGTGAGTTTAACCGCGTTTTGCGCATGCTGAAAAGTGGGAGGATAACAACGACGCTAATCTGTGTCGGAGCGCATGGTCTCCCCCCCCCCCCCCCATGTGGCTATTATCATATTTGATGTTGCGTACCTAAAAATTCTCAATGGTCGCTATTATTGCCTGCTAGTATCGTCTGCAGAAATGCTACTATTGTCTGCTGTGTTGCGTCTCTTGAAATTGTCAAGTAATCCTCGTTTTGCCACGATTTGTTCCTTGGCAGAAAGTTTGCATTTTACACACGACTGAGGCCCTGTTAGGCTATTTGCTTGGCCGCCATAATATCGGGTCGAAGTTCGGAGGAGAGCCTGTATCAGTATTCCACCAAGTTGTGCAGAGCCAGCCAGTCTGTCCGCCTGTTTATTTCCCAACACACCGGCGTATTCCGGTGAAAAAAATTCAGACAATACTCCTCACCCGTGTCCTCTGCAGCATAGCATGCCACTCTGCATGAAGCATACCTGTTTTAATAACCACACATGGTAATTTGATAGGATTAACAGTGCATTTTCTAAGTTTGTTTTCGAGTGCCATGAATACCAGTGTTCCAACCACAAGTACAGGTCGCAGAATGTGTCTTTCTGCGGCTGAAGCTATGAAATTGTTTCAGTTAGATGTTTTTAATTCTAATAATGATAATGAAAATTTAGATTTTTCGGAAAGTGATTTGGACGGGGCATTTTCCTAAGCGAAGCTGAGCCATCAGCTGTTCTGAATCTAGCGATTCTGATGAGTTTATTGCACAGACAATGTCCCATTGCTACCGTATTGATGGTGTGAGAAAGAAGGAAAGTGCTCTAAACAAAGAGATTGTACTTTACTATGGCTAAGCTACATTTAAATCATCACAGTTAGTCTGTATAAAACTGTACAAAGTAAATAGTAAATAGCGTGTGCGTAATGGCTAATTTTTCGGCCATTTTTTTCTCTGAAATTTTTCTCAGCACTCTGTGAGAACTAAGAGCTCCTGAGTGCTAAACTAACCCAGAAACTTATCATAACATTGGAATTTGTTAGGAAATTGAACAGACTTTGAAGTTTTGTTCTTAAATTTGGATATTCACTACTCGTGTGGCTGCAAAATCATGGTGAGCAAAGAATTTGTTTGTAAAATGTTGTTGTTGTGAAATTAACACCTGCTGAATTCTTCTTTCCTACTATTACTAACTATAAAAAAATTAAACATACACTTATCATCAGATTCAAAATGTACATTCATTTCTCTTTAAAAATGTAAATACTTTTATTAGGATTAGAAGTATATTACATTCTCTATTGCCTTTCTTGTACACCCACCCCTCTGCCATTTTTTGTAAAGGGAAATTAATGTGGGCCAGGTCTGTCAAAATTCATGGGCTTGAAAGAGTTAAATGCTTTATTTTTTTTCTCTGTTAGTCACATTCAAGGTCAAAATATATAAAACATTGATAAGACCAATCATTTTATATGGCTCTGAAACTTGGAGCACAACTAAAAGAGATGAAGCCTTATTACAAATTAAAAAAACAAAACAGTATTACGCCAAATCTTTGGACCCACCAAGGATACAAACAGCGGGGGAATGGAGAGTGAGAAGCAACAACAAAATTCATATTCTGTTTAAATCACCATTGATCACTGACATGAGATGTAATAGACGGTAATGGCTTGGGCATATTGAGATAATGGCAAATGACAGACAGGTAAAAACTGTATCCACAAGGGAGCTGAATGGTCATAGACCATGAAGCAGACTAAGAAGACGATGGAGAAATAACTCCAGACAGACCTGCAAACACTTGGTGTTACCAACTAGAAAGAGAAAGCCAACCAGAGAGATGAGTGGATTCTTGATATCTGCAGCAGTGAACCTCAAGGGCTCGGAAGCCAACCAGAGAGATGAGTGGATTCTTGATATCTGTAGCAGTGAACCTCAAGGGCTCGGAACGCTGAAGAAAAAGATTAGTTAAATTCACACAGTTGCTTCCTCAAGAAAGGCTGCCAGTTATAATCATAAATATATTGGTAGCAATAGTCTGCTGTTGATACAAAGGGGGATTGAACAAATTTTAAAAAATTTAAAAAAAAACGTTTAATTAAATTGTTTTGAAATTGACTACTGGTTTCACTTGAGCAGTTTGTGTTTGTTTATTTGGGATTCAGTTTGTTACCTGATCTTTACATTATGGAATAACACCCAGAAACCTCAGTCTTGAGGAGGGACATAATTCTGCAATGTGCAGATGAGAGACTGTTTTAAGTGTAGCCCATGATGGGAAAACAAGTCTGCTGGATGTTAAAACCAAAATAAGAATTGGCTTCTGGAATGTAAGAACCATGTTTGAAATGACCAAAACCGCCCAATAATTAAAGAAATGCAGAACTATTCACTGCAAATTCTTGGAATCAGTGAAAGCAGGTGGACAGGGTTTGGACAATCCCCAAACCAACAACCAGTGACCATAAGTAACCATTCACTTGAAAATGTAGAACATTTCACAAATCTTGGCAGTGTGGTGTCCCTACTGGGAGGGACAGAGGAAGACAAACAGTCACGCCTGAACAAAGCTAGAGCTGCTTTTGGACGGATGAGGCAAATCTGGAAATCCAACAATTACTGCAGAGGAAAGAAACTGCGACTCTACATGAGCATCATTTTGCCAGTTCTTCTTTAAGGAGCAGAATGCTGGAGAATGACCAAAAAGGATGCACACAAGCTGTCCACCTTCCACCACACATGTCTACATAGAATTATCACAATTTTCTGGCCAGATACAATCTCAAACACTATACTGCTAGACCAGTGGAACTTGATGGAGGAAAGTCAGAAGAGGATTATCATTGAGCATGTTACTGGAACTTGATGGAGGAAAGTCAGAAGAGGATTATCATTGAACATGTTACTGGAACTTGATGGAGGAAAGTGAGAAGAGGATTATCATTGAACATGTTACTGGAACTTGATGGAGGAAAGTGAGAAGAGGATTATCATTGAACATGTTACTGGAACTTGATGGAGGAAAGTGAGAAGAGGATTATCATTGAACATGTTACTGGAACTTGATGGAGGAAAGTCAGAAGAGGATTATCATTGAACATGTTACTGGAACTTGATGGAGGAAAGTCAGAAGAGGATTATAATTGAACATGTTACTGGAACTTGATGGAGGAAAGTGAGAAGAGGATTATCATTGAGCATGTTACTGGAACTTGATGGAGGAAAGTGAGAAGAGGATTATCATTGAGCATGTTACTGGAACTTGATGGAGGAAAGTGAGAAGAGGATTATCATTGAACATGTTACTGGAACTTGATGGAGGAAAGTGAGAAGAGGATTATAATTGAACATGTAACTGGAACTTGATGGAGGAAAGTGAGAAGATGATTATCATTGAACATGTAACATACAAGTAAAGGTTCCTTTTCCACACTTTCAGGCGTATTGGGCATGCAAGGCTAAACCTGTATTCTGTAGACCAATCAGCACTCCGTGGGTGATGCGATCAACATCATGTCAGCGACCTTTACTTCCCAAGACTTTTACCTGGAAGCCCAGGGTCATTTTGGAAAAAATCCAGTTCTTTTTGGATTTGAACCAATGACTTTCAGATCCAAAGGTGAGCATCTAGCCATTTAACATGTTTAAAAAAAAGTAAAGGACTCCTTTCTACGCCTTTAGGCGTATAGGGCTAGACCTATATTTGTATAGACCAATCGGCACAAGATGGGTGATGTGGTCAGCATCATGCCAGCCGCCTTTACTTCCCGGGACTGCACCCGGTACGCACTCGAGGCTGTGTCAACCTGGGAGACAAGGTCATTTTTTAAAAATGTCCGGTTCCGCCAGGGAGTGAACCCACGACCTTCCGATCCACGACGAGCGTCTTGCCGCTCGGCCATGGCGACTTCGCATTTAACATGAGCAGAACTAAGTATTTGTGGTTTAGGGAGAAAGCATACATGCATGGCATACATGCATGCAGTGTTCATATAAGTTTATGTGTGTCACATGTGATTGTTTTTTCCACACATCTTTACAGACACTCCCTCACAAGTTAATGATAGAAATACTATAAAGCCTCCAAGCCGACCATTTACTGCGATGTCTGCCCAAGAGGACATGCTGACCCCGCGGGGCAATGTAAGTGTTAGTTGATGTGTTGTATCTATAGAATGTCTGAGAACTGACATGTACTGATGTAGGGGTGGGAAGTCTTGTGTATAACAGGACTCAGTCAGCTGGGATTACCAGTTATGTTCCTTGCAGATTCTGTCTTACTGTTATGATATAAAATATCTTTGGTGAGCGCAGAAAAGAAAAAAAATGTGGAGCTGATCCCAATGAAATACTGGATTCACCACTATTTCCTCAAGTAATCTTTCCTTGGTAAGTAATTTCTTTCTTAGTAAATTCATTGTTCTAAGTAAGTAAGCAAGCACACTAGCCACTGTGGTATGCTGGGATCTCGGTTATTAAATGTTTGCATCTTCTAAATCACAACTTAAGGTTGGTTGCGTATCCTTTGCAGGACGTTGCAGAACCAACCTCAACAGCCCCTGGCTGTTGTGTGGTTTTTCTAGACAAATTTATGTCCAGTAGTTCGTCATTGCTTTCTGGGCGGTCGGCTTTCTTGATACCAATGTCGAAACCAGCGCATGGCATTACGAAGCGTTCGCGACTTAGCCACAGAGCCGACAATCACAACTCAATAAGGATAAATATTACCAGAGAGGTATATGTAAGCCTTTCTCACTCACATCAGAGTAAGTTTGAAATGTCCAGCACTTCATGATGCAATGTCTCTAAATGTAAGTATTGTCTTTAGTGATCCTATTTGAACACTGTTGTAACAGATTGTTGATAATATCCGTAGATTGAGGGATTCCTAGCAACAGCGAAAGAAGATAATACAACTCCAGATGTATCTAAAAGAGCAGCCACCAGCTCGTCTGCCAGCACAGTTTTCAAAATCCCAGACCAGCCAGAAAGTTTCATAGCACCAAGGCTGCTGGTATCTTCCAACACTGCACCCACCCCAGGCAGCAAGTTCACACCTCGTACAAATGTTTTTAACCTCATACATTTCAGTAAGTTGTTAGTAATCACTGTGAAAGAGCAGAGAATCTATTTATGAAAGCAACACATCTATAGATGGACGTTTTGAATTCTTAAAATTAGACTTGATGGCTGTAGTATTCTTCTTCTTTGTTCACCGGCTGTAAGCTTCTGCGGAAAGACCTGGTTGTTTGTCTGTCTGGACTTTGTGCCAGGGCCTGATTGTTGTGTGTACCTCCGTTCTGCTGGTTCATTTGTGTGCAGTTGGTTGTTTCTTGCTGCTCTGTCAGATGCATTCTGACTCTGAAGGAAGCTGCCAGCTAGTCGACTCTTACAACTTGCTTCTTGAAGTGGCAGTGGGTCTATTCTTGTTTTTTTCCCATAATGTGGCCCTGTAACCCACACAGGGAGATAACTGTAGTATAATAGAATTGGGCTGCAAGTCTCTTTCCCAATCACCTTATGCTGCCCAATAGTTCCCTGACAATTGTACACTACTAACCTGTATCAATCAATCAGGTGCCGTCTCCACAATGAAGGTTGGCTGCAATGGATCTCCAACAAGCTCTGTCTCTTGCCCTTGATGTACACTCACTCATACCGCTGTTCTTCCATCTCTTGATGTTATCCTCCGACTTGTAACGCTGTCTGCCTCTTGCTCGCCTACCTTGAACCCTTCCCTCTAGGACTAACCTGTATAAGTCTCTGTAATAAGCAGAAACATTTACTAGTTGAAAAAGTTTAAATGTTTTTTAGCTGAATTGAACACTGACTATGTGATGAACGAATGAATGAACGAACTAACTTTATTGGCAAAGTGTCTCAAACTGGTCATGCAGGCTCGAATTACATTGGGTCCTTTCAAACATACATCTTGGAATGAACACTGGCCACCCTACCACAGCTGCACTATAGAATAACATGAACCGGGAAGACTAACCCAGGTCAACAAATGCCCGCAGAAGTCGGATGTGTTGACCAAAAGGTGTAAATATCGCAGCCATGCTGTAAACGGACACAACGCAATTACATCTTCGGATGAGCGCAGAAGAAGAAGAATAACATGAGTTAAACATGTACTGGACACACACACATGTCACAACTGGGACCTGAAATCTGTGTCTGGTGCTTAGAGGATAATATAAGAAAACAAGAATGAATGTTAGTTGATGTGAGACAAACTGGCAAGAGGAACATTTATCTGATTATGGCTTTAAATTACAGCAGAAGATTCAGAACAGACACCAACAGTGAGAGGTAGTGATTGGCTGGATCAAGCTTCCTCCGAGTCTGGTGTATCTGCAACTAAACATCCAGAATGGGTTCAGGAGGTCAACCTGTCACCGATGTCCTTGTCCCATACAAGGTTTGCATGTCCTGACAGTGTGGTCAATTTTGTCCTGTATTTGCTGTATTGTTTTATATTATTCTCTAGGTTTGTTTGTGTAAGATAAGACAGAGCTACATTTCTGTTACAGTTTTCATCTTAAGACCTGTGCAAGATGTAGCAAAAATTGTAAACATGATGAACTTATAAAAATTGTAATCATTGCATAAACAGATTGGAAACTTGACTCCAGAACTCAGATATGCCGATTTTAAAGACCTCTTCTGAAATAATTTAAAAGAATTTAAATAGTTAATCTCATCTGTTTAAAGAAAGTGAAGATTACACTCTGTTTCTGAGCATTACAAATGTATGTGTCCACAGACAAAAGGATGTGTCTGCTGAAAGTTACAATCAATAAGGGATACAGTGAAAGTGTCACATACTTGAATATTGAACGACAACTGACATTGTTTAGAAGAAGTTAGGGCCGACCCTAGCAGTGTAGAGGTGAAACAGTTCAAAACTTACAGCAAAACACCATCAAAAACCTAATTAACTATTTTGAAAACATCAGTAAATCAGCATCACATATGGACCATTGTGTAACTACTAAAGAAGAAATGTCTTAGAAGATAGAAACTTCAGTTGAAAACAGCTGATTATGCCTGGAAGAGAAACCTTACAGGTGAAACGCGTCCAGTGACAGATGTCCTTTTGTCATATAATCTAAGAATGCAACAGGCAGCTGGGAGGCTGATTCAAAGAGACATGAGTTACCATCAGGACAGAATAACTTCATTTATTGATCACCTCTAAAGGAGAAAGTTTGGAGATTGAGTTAAGTGCATTATGTGATTCTGAGTTGATACTCTTATTTGAAATGCTCTTCAGCTGTGCAAAAACTGGATTGTGTTGTGAAGTGCAAGTTCAGAACATGGCATGTGTCCTGTTGCCACAGAACTAGGATGCCTTATGCCAAACTGCTTGTGCAACCCCTGATTTGTTATAACTGCTGCTTCCATCGATGATGAACTGCAATTCTCATGGCAGATTGTGTTGGCATTTCTGATGCCTTATGCATGTAGATGCTATCAGCTTTGTCGATACATATCTGTTTTGAATATTTTTCCTCAGAAAACAGCAGTGGATATTCTGAATGGTTTTCACTGACTGTAACAGAGCAGTTATGGGGTGAGCCTTTGCCAAGAAGGTAGAACTACAGCTAAGTAAAATTATTGTCAGAATGATTGATGGTAATAGACATGTAGAGAACATATTAGGCTGGTTGGCAGGCTGGCACTTAACTCAATCTGTGGCTGAACTTATCAAAAACACGGAAGATAGATCTGTGATCAGACTTATCGGAAGCAAATCTAAGATGGTTGTGGAAAAAAAATGATTGATTGTGCTCCAGTGGAACAGTGTTTATTCATTTTTATGTTCCAATAAAACTGATTGTATTCACATTTTAAAATGTGGAATCTTTTGTGGCGCACCATATGTACATCTGACATGTTTTTTTATTTTTTTTAAATTTTAGTGAAGGACAAGAGGATTCTCCATCCACCGTCAAACAGGTTTTTAAACGACCCCGTCGATCATTCCACATCCCTGTGCCAAAAAGAGTGGTCATGGCACAGGCTGCAAGCAAGGGAATCTGTAAGACTGGTCTAAATTTACCATTTGTGCACGGGTCATTTTCAGAATCTCATTCTCCGCACGGCCCATGGGAATACTACCAGCCTTTTGCCAGTTTCTCCACATCTTCCATTTTCATGTCCTTTGTGTTGATGGGCTCGTGTTTCTTTGTCTAGGAACTATGCTTTGTGCTATTCTTCTTTCTATACTACTGTATTATTTAATAGGGTCAAAGTGTGTCATTTCCCAGTTGTTGGGAGCCCATTCCAAACACCAAGTGGATCAAAAGTTAAATGCATTCAGAAAACTGATGAACGTGAGATGAATTCAAGATGGACGAAGGAATAAGAAGATAGTACAACCACTGATGTCAGCAGCTATGACGGAGAAGATGGCAAGGTATTGGGCATATCATGAGAAGAAGCAGGGGGAGAATCGCCTAATGGGCACTGCAGTAGGAATCAAATGGATTGAAGAAATAAGGACGCCTAAGAGAAACCCTATGGTGAACACTGTTGAAAGAGGCCAGGAGCGTTGGATGATTCCATCCATGATATCGAGAGGATTACACAGCATAGTAAGGAATAGAGAACTATACTGTGAGCCCTGTGTGGAATTCAATGGTGCTAACATGATGTTGAAGAAGATTCAAGCACCACACTCATTCTGGGTGTGATTGCAAGCTGCAAAATTTCAGCCTAGCTGTAAACAGACATTGTATGGAAACAGTCGGCCTGGGTAGACTTCAGAAATGTACTGGTTGGGCAGAAATGATGCTGCCACTGCTGGGGATCAAGCACATCAGGGTAAAGGTTTGACATCACAATATATGGGTCAAGGCCAAATTAGCTCCATCTGCCTCAATAGTCAGCAGACAGTCTCCACACTGATGGTTCCCGTTGTCATTTGGTTAACTACTTGGCTTTCCCTGTGTGGGTTCTGGGGCCCTGTTATAGGGTAAACAAGAATAGACTTACTGCCTGCCCAAAAGCATGTCGTAAGAGTCAATTAATTGGGAGCTTTCTTTGAAGTCGAGTGCATCTGCCTGAGAGGCAAGGAACCAGCAGTCTGCATACAAATAAGTCAGATCTGAAAAACGGATGCACACACAACATTCAGGTTCTGGAACAGGACTGCAGTCTAAAAGTGGATGGACAACCAGAACTTTCCGCCAGAGTTTACAGCTGGTGAACATGAAGAAGAAGAAGAACTACTCGTCTTGCCTTAGTCTCTATAGTTGTGCCCAGCGCCCGCAGACATTCGCAGTGCTCATCACTATCTCCAGGTTTGGGTTTTCAATAATTTCTTTTTTACTTAAATCTCATTCTGCAGGTGAATTATCACTTCTGCCTTAGCATTTTATTAGAAAGCGTCGCTGGAATTACATCGGTCACGTACTCAGAATGGACATACAGAGACTTCCCCACCAAGCCTTCATATGGTCACCAGAGGGTAAAAGAAAACAGGGAAGACCAAAAGAAACTCTCCGTAGAACCATCACAAGGGAGAGCTCAACCATAGGTCTCAGTCGCACTCAAGACCTACATCAAGTGGCAAAGAACCGACAGACGTGGAAAGCTATGACCTCTGCCCTATGCGCCATCTTTGGCACAAGAGGAATAACTAACTAACTAACTTAGCATTTGCACTTCACCCCCAGATGAGGCCAGCCCAGCTAGGCTATCTGCCTGCTCATTTCCAAACACACCTGCATGGCCTGGGCAGTTAAACCCAGACCACAGTCATGGTTAGCAAGTACACTACCACATTCCACCATGGCGCTCGTGTTGAGCTAGTGCATTTTTATTCAGATTTTTTTTTTATGTATTAAATTTGTGCAGTGCAGAATATGCATATTTTTCTTATGTCTTATTCTGTATACATTATCTGTAGTTTTTTCTATTTATATAAACTGGTGTTTTTGTTTTTACCTGTGGCAGCTGAAGGGAATCCGACTGTTGTAGGTGTGGAGGGTGGAGATCTGCCTGTTGTTGTGTTGGAAAACCTTGATTTCTTTGTTGGCACAAATTTGGAGGGGATTCAGACATCAGCTCTGGACAACTTTGGTGCTGAGGCTAGCACACATTTGTCCGTGGTACAAGCATCAACTTTGGAGAACTTTGATGCCGAGACTGGTTCACATTTGTCCTTGGTACAAGCATCAACTTTGGAGAACTTTGATGCCGAGACTGGCACACATTTGTCCTTGGCACAAGCATCAACTTTGGAGAACTTTGGTGTCGAGGCTGGCTCACATTTGTCCTTGGCACAAGCATCAACTTTGGATAACTTTGGTGCCAAGGCTGGCACACATTTGTCCTTGGCACAAGCATCAACTTTGGAGAACTTTGGTGCCGAGGCTGGCACACATTTGTCCTTGGCACAAGCATCAACTTTGGGCAACTTTGGTGCCGAGGTTGGCACACGTTTGGAAGGAGGACATCTTTCAGGTCAGGAGGCCGAGGGTCAGGATGTTGAGGCGGAGGGTCAGGATGTTGAGGCGGAGGGTCAGGATGTTGAGGCGGAGGGTCAGGATGTTGAGGCTGAGGGTCAGATTGCTGAGGGTCAGGGTCAGGACGTTGAGGGAGAACTGCTGAATGCAGACTCTCCAGTGGATGCTGATGTGAACACAGAATATGGTGATAAAAGTGAAGGCAGGTTGGGGATTGCAGGAGAAAATGATAAGTTGGGTTTTGAAGTTGCTGAAGAGAATAACAGTGTGGAACATGAGGAGTCGACAAAGGAGAAGAGTTTCGTAGGCAGCAGGACTTCGTTAACCAGCAAACATGGGAAGATATCTTTCATTTTGTCACCAAAGAGGACGCCCAAGGATACACAAGCAGCCTTAACTCCAACTTCCAGCGTGTATGATTTGAGTGAAAGCAGCAGCAACAGCAGCGGAGATGTGCACATCACAAAACAGAAAAGTCCTAGTCTCAGGAACAGGACAAACATTGTTAAATCTTCAGGTAAAAGAGGACTTGGTAGGACAAAATCCTCAAAGCAAAATATAAGCTCTGGGCGTGTCAGTGTGTCCAGAAGTAAATCCAAGCTGAGTTACTCTGAATGGAAATCCCAGCAACGGGGTAAAGATACCTCAGACCAGACGGCAAATTTCCTTGATAGTCACTACCCATTGTCTTCTACGCCATTCGACCGCAGGAAGAAAATATTCCACTCCACCAGAATACATCATTCAGTTCATGCAGATGAGGATGCCGCCATGTTGGAAGCACAAACAACAGATTCTATCCCAAACATTTCTCCGATACGGCCAGTTGGCAAGCGCCAAGCAGAGAGACGAACTGGGATTGGACAGGAGATGATGGATCAGAACACAGACAGAGGTAATTTGTATTTGTTTTCTCAGATATTATTTTATAATTTTTTAGGTAGATGTTCATTTATTGTGCTTTATTTAATAAGGAGAAATCAAGGTAGGATGGTGAAACATTTGTGTACGTAACCCGTGTGCTGAACGCTCATCATCATCATGTGCCTTGGAAAATGGTATAGGCCAGGGCAATTAAACTGGTGGCCAGTGGGCCAAAATTGGGCTGCAGAGGCCTAGCAACTGGCCAGCGGATCATTGCCATTTATATTGCATTAATGATCTTTCTATGCTTAGCTTAGGTCTCTGGCCCTTGACAATTCCTATTGCCAATATTGTTGCCCCTGAATAGCCCTGGTTTAAACCTTCTTCCCCTGTGGGTTCTGGGGCCCCATTTTCTCCCCAACAAGCATGTCATAAAAAACAACTGATTGTGTTTCTTCATCTGCCTGAGAAGTGAGGGACCCACTGTCTGCACACAAATAAGCAAGATCTGTAAAACAGGTGTGCATGCACAACTCAAGTTCAGGAACAAGTCTAGAAGTGGATAACCAGAACTTGGCGCTGGAGTCCACAGCCGGTGAACACTAAGAAGAAGAAGAGAGATGGGCATTCCCATTCACAGATCTGAGTCTTTGGTATTCTGGATGAGTTCCTTGAAGATATTCCTCTCTGAAACTGATTTATTCGTGCCCATTGGTCTAAACAAATACGAGTCTAGCCTCTCATGCACGATGTGCAACTGTGGTTAAAAGGATCTTTAACTTTTTACGAGGAGAATACCTTATGCACTAAATGCATGTGTATGTTACTGACTATGCCGGGCTTACAGTCAGTTTCAGTTTTATTCTGTTCTACAAGGGACAGCACTGTGCATTCTCTGTGGTTGGCACAGAAATGGGGTCATTATAGGGTGACTCAGTTACCATGAAGTTGGAACTGCCACTAATTAATTGTTTGAGTTCATTCAGCTGAACATCTCTGTGTCTGCCCCTGCTTCTTCTACAACTGTTCTTTCTTGCTGCCATAATGATCTCCAGTGCTCACCTCTCATGATATGATTCAGAGTGCGGTTTGTCCCTTTTTTTCCCAGTTGTCTTCAGTATACTACATCTATCAGCCTTCTCCAGGCAATCATTGTTAGTTATTCTGGCAGGTGAAGGCCTTTGTGGCAGAAACCACATTGCTACCACCTCCAGGCTACCTCATTTGTTCATTCACATTCTAAGATTCATGTCCATACATCTGTCTGGGTTCTGGGCCACATTTTGATGGGAAGGAGGAGGGGGGTGTAAACCCACTGCTTCCTAACAAGTTTGTCATAAATGATTACTACTGTGCTGAAATCAGATATCACAGTCTAGCTGTAAATCACAACACAGTGTGACTAACACCCTTTCAAGGCAGAAGAGGAAGAAAAAGAACTCTGGAAGCAAAGTACATAGTAGTAAAATTGACAGTTTGTGGGGATGACAGAAGAAAGATGGACAAATAAATCACCATTCTAGACCTTATTTTACCAACAAATTTCTCTGATAAAAAAAAAATGGATATCAATCAGAATATTGCTCCTATTTGGTGCATTTCAAAAATGGGGAGGCCCTATCTTTAAAACTGTCAATGAACTTACTGTCTTCTGCCATTGGATAGATTTGACATTACAAATAAACAAAGGAGAAACCCTTTGAGG